CAGTATACACAGTGCAGCACACATCCAGCTCAGTACACTCTCTATACACATGTGCCGCACACATTCAGTACACTCTCTATACATGTCACTATACACAGTGCCACACGCATCGAGCTCAGTACACTCTCTATACATGTCATTATACACAGTGCAGCACACATACAGCTCAGTACACTCTCTATACATGTCATTATACACAGTGCAGCACACATACAGCTCAGTACACTCTCTATACATGTCATTATACACAGTGCAGCACACATCCAGCTCAGTACACTCTCTCATATCAGTATACACAGTGCAGCACACATGTCAGTACACTCTCTATACATGTCATTATACACAGTGCCGCACGCATCCAGCTCAGTACACTCTCTATACATGTCATTATACACAGTGCAGCACACATCCAGCTCAGTACACTCTCTATACATGTCATTATACACAGTGCCGCACGCATCGAGCTCAGTACACTCTCTATACATGTCATTATACACAGTGCAGCACACATACAGCTCAGTACACTCTCTATACATGTCATTATACACAGTGCAGCACACATACAGCTCAGTACACTCTCTATACATGTCATTATACACAGTGCAGCACACATCCAGCTCAGTACACTGTCCACACGTCAGTAAGCGTCTGAGAACTTGTGAATATGGGAGCAGCAATGTCACATGGGAAATGAAGTCCTAGGCAGGAGAAGGAAGTGAGTGATTCTAAAGGCACAAGTTTTCTTACCTTGCTATAGGGGCAATCTATACTAAATGTTTGTGTGTGTAGTGTGCATTATAGTTAAAATGATTATATAATTGAAAAAAGGTTTCAACCTGTAGAATGATTTTAAAAATGTAAAATTCACCCTCCACCCTTTGTGCAGCTGCATGTCTAAAATATCCTGTATATCCTACTTCTGGATATATATATATATATTTATTTATTAATATTATATATAAACAGTGATCAGAACAACTGAGTACACCCCTTTTGAAAAGTAAGATTTTAATCAATATCTCAATGAAAACAAGAATATCATGAAAACTTTTGACAAAACTGAGTTTTGCTGAACATTTGTTTCGCTCATTACATAAAAGTAAGGTTAATAATAGAACTTAGATTACAAAATCTTCAGTTTTACTCAAATTAGTTGATGCAAAAATGAATACATCCCACATCAAAAAATACTACATCTAGTATTTTGTATGACCTCCACGATTTGTAAGGAGAGCATCAAGTCTTCTAGGCATGGAATGAATAAGTTGGCAACATATTGCAACATCTTTTCCCATTCTTCAAGAACGACCTCTTTTAGATCCTGGATGCTGGATGGAGAGAGATGCTCAACTTGTCTCTTCAGAATTCCCCATAGTTGCTCGATTGGGTTCAGATCTGGAGACATACTTGGCCACTGGATCACTTCCACCCTGTTCTTCAGAAATGCAACAGTGGCCTTAGATGTGTGTTTTGGATCATTGCCATGTTGGAATAGTGCATGATGACCAAGGGCACAGAGTGATGGTAGGATCTACTCTTTCAATATAGAGCAGTACATCTGTGAATTCATGATACCATCAATGAAATGCAGCTCCCTGACACCAGCAGCAGTCATGCAGCCCCACAGAAGGACACTGTCACCACCATGTTTCACTGTAGGAACTATGCATTTTTCTTTGTACGCCTCTCCTTTGCAATGTCATACAGTTTTGAACTCATCAGTTCTAAAAACATTTATCTTGGTCTCATCACTCCAGAGTGCAGAGTTCCAGCAGTCTTCTTTTTCAGCATGGGCCCCAGCAAATTCTAGGCAGGCTTTTTTGTGCACGGGTTTTAGTAGAGGCTTCCTTCGTGGATGACACCCATGCATGCCATTCCTCTGTAGTGTACACCGTGTTGTTTTCCAGAAAAAAATCACCCCAGTTTGGCTTTCTACTTCTTTAGCTAACTGCAGTGAACTTGCATGGTGATTTTCTTCAACTCTTCTCATCAGAAGACGCTCCTGATGTTCTGAGATGGTTGCAGTTCCATCTTTGTAAAATTTTTGTATCACTTTTGCTACAGTATTGTGACTGATAAGTAAAGCTTTGCTGATCTTCTTGTAGCCTTCACCTTTGTTGTGTAATGCAGGCCATAGATGGGTCGAAAATCGACCGATTTTTCGGACGAAAATAAAATCGGCCGATTTTCGGATCGTTAGTGGGCTCTTTGTTCGGCCGTTTTTCGGTATTTTGGCCGCCGTTTTTTTTTTTTTGGTAAAGTTGGAAAAAAATTGGCCGATCGGCCGATTTTCGCAGCAATTAGTGGGCAAATCGGCCGATTTTTTACCGATAAAAAATCTGCGCATGAGCAGTGACCTGCAAGAGGAAGACAAAAAAAAGAAGAAAAAGAAGAGGAAGAGTATGAAGAAGAGAATGAAGAAGAGGAAGAAGAAGAGGATGAAGAAGAATAAGAAGAAGAAGAGGATGAGGATGAAGAAGAAGAAGAGGATGAGGATGAAGAAGAAGGAGAATAAGAAGAGGATGAGGATGAAGAAGAAGAAGAAGAAGAGGATGAGGATGAAGAAGAAGAAGAAGAAGAGGATGAGGATGAAGAAGAAGAAGAAGAGGATGATGAAGAAGAAGAAGAGGATGAGGATGAAGAGGATGAGGATGAAGAAGAAGAGGATGAGGATGAAGAAGGAGAAGAAGAAGAGGATGAAGAAGAGGATGAGGATGAAAAAGAAGAAGAGGATGATGATGAAGAAGAAGAAGAGGATGAGGATGATGATGAAGAAGAAGAGGATGAGGAAAGAAGAAGAAGAAGAGGATGAAGAAGAAGTAGAAGAAGAGGATGAAGAAGAAGAAGAAGAGGATGAGGATGAAGAGGATGATGATGAGGATGAAGAGGATGATGATGAAGAAGAAGAAGAAGAGGATGAGGATGAAGAAGAGAGAAGGAGAGGAAGAAGAAGAGGATGAGGATGAAGAAGAAGAGGATGAGGATGAAGAAGAAGAAGAAGAAGAAGAGGATGAGGAGGAAGAAGAAGAAGAAGAAGAGGATGAAGAAGAAGAAGTAGAAGAAGAGGATGAGGATGAAGAAGAAGAAGAGGATGAGGATGAAGAGGATGAGGATGAATAAGAGGATGAGGATAACGAAGAAGAAGAAGAAGAAGAGGATGGGGATGAAGAAGAAGAAGGAGAGAGAGAAGAAGAGGATGAGGATAAAGAGGATGAGGATGAAGAAGAGGATGAGGATGAAGAAGAAGAAGAAGAGGATGAAGAAGAAGAAGAGGATGAGGATGAAGAAGAAGATGAGGAAGAAGAAGAAAGAGGAGGATGAAGAAGAAGAAGAGGATGAGGATGATGAAGAAGAAGAGGATGAGGATGAAGAAGAAGAAGAAGTAGGATGAAAATAAGAGGAATTGCAGTCCAGCAAAAAGTGTCCCTGCAGAGAGCTCCGCTATTTCTTTGACAGTTCTCTGACAGTTCCTTGACATTTATAGAGGTTGCAACATTGTATCTATTTGTTTCCGAATAAAAACATCTGTATCCTAAATGGAAACAAATAGATACAATGTTGCAACCTCTATAAATGTCAAGGAACTGTCAGAGAACTGTCAGAAATAGCGGAGCTCTCTGCAAGGACACTTTTGCCGGCTGTAGACGGGATGAAAATCAGCCGATTTTTTTTACCATTGATGGTAACGTCGGCCGCTTGAACGACCGATTTTTCGTTTTTTAAAAGAAAAATCTGCCGTTTTTTCGACCCATCTATGGCCTGCATAAAGAAGTTGTTTTCTTTCTCAAACCTTGTGACATTTCTCTTCCATGTAGTGCCATTGCTGACAGCATGAAATGGGAAGGGGTTTTCTTTGTTAAGTAATTCCCTTTTATAATCAACTGTCTGCTAAACACCTGTTTAATGAATAATTAGGCTGAGCTGTAGTTGAATTCTTGTTAATCTGTTGTATAAAATTTAGCTTTGCTCCTAATGCCAGCCATAGACGGGTCGAAAATCGGACGATTTTTGCACTGGTAGTGGGTTAATTGGTTGGCCGTTTTTTGCAGTTTTTTTATCGGTCATGTTGGAAAATTTGCGGCTGATTTTCCAAGCAATGATGGGCAAATCGCCAATCGTTTTACCGAAAAAATCTGCGCATGAGCCGTGACCTGCAAGAAGAAGAAGAAGAAGAAGCAATAAAAGAAGAAGAAGAAGCAAAAGAAGACGAACAAGAAAATAAAGAAGAAGAATGTACAGGTGTCACTGAACGGCAGCTCCGTTCTTCTTCTGCTATTATATTTTATATGAAAAAGTCTTGCGGTTGCAACAAAAGTGTCCATTTGTATCCAAATAAAAACATAATGTATTTGTATTGCTGTCACATTGTATGATGTGCTCCCCTGTCTCTGTCAAACTGGCTTCTTGTCCCATTCTTTTGTGAGCATTGGTGGCAGCAACGGCACCGACCGATTTTTCATTTATCGGCCGACAAACGGCCCGTCTATGGCCTGCATAAGACTTTCATTGGGGTGTATTCACTTTTGCAACATTGTCTTCAATGAATTTGTGTGTCTGTGTGTGCAAATGAACAAATCTTGCTTGCAATCAATGGCTTGCATTTGTGGGAGTATTTTGTAGTATAGTGTCCCATAGGAAATGTTGATTCTGCAAGGAAAGTAAAGGTTTTCTGACAAATCTGGGGTGTACTCATTTATTCTGAGCTATATATATATATATATATATATATATATATATATAAAATAGTTTTTTAGTGATTATCTGCTGTTTTTGTACTATAAAGGGCTGATTTTTGTTTTTTTTAACCCCATCTTGACAGGTGGTTTCTAAAAAGCATGCTGCTGCTACTGAATGTCTTATGCTGACCATACAGCTATAGATTTTCGGACAAGAATATTTATATGAATATTCGTTTAAAAATTCTTTGTACATCTGATGAATGTTGTTGGAAAATTTCACTTGCTTTAAACATTTAATTTTAATGTGAATTTAAAGTGTTACTAAACCCAAAACAGTAAAATCAGTCTGTAATGCTGTAAAACGTGCTTGTTCTACTCACTGTGGAACCTAAGGGGTTAATCCTCTGCATTGTGTAAAAAAGATGTTTGATCCTGACTTCCCTGTTCCTTCTCTTGTTCACATGTCAAGGTCTTATCTCCTGACTGAACCGTAACCATTTGCACATGCTCAGTTTAGTGTGTATTGCTAGAGAGGTTTTTTTTTCTTGGAGAGTGCATTTCCATGTTCTGTGTACTGTGGGAGACCAGACAGAGTGAATGCATGGTCCTGGGTTTAGTAACACTTAAATTGCTGAAAGAAAACCACATATGCTGCCTGGAAATTCTTTTGATCAAGAAAAGCTTTCTACTCTCCTCCTTTGAATTTTCCTATCATTGTGGTTGAGAACAAATGTCAATTTGATCAATAATGATTAGAAAATCGAACGAACGTTCTTAAAACCAAAATTTTCGAAGGAAAAATGTATTTGTATATGGCCAGCATTAGGCCTGGTACAAACAGGGAGTTCAGTGGGCTGAACGAAAAAAACAGTTCGCCGTACTAACGTAGCGATTTAAGTGCAGTGCATCCCCCCCCGCTGAGCTACTGTGTTTTGACAGGGAACTGCCCCCCAGCCAGAACACACTGATTAGCACTCACAGCCATAGGCTGCCAGCATTGATCAGTTTTCCAGCATGGACTGGCTGGCCTGTCCAACATTAGACTGGCTTCTGTTGGACAGGCTGCTGTACACACAGGCTGAATGTCAGCCAGTTTCCATTGAACCGGCTGCTACCAGCCGATATTTGGCCCAGCTTATTACAAGGGAGTCCGTCATGCATACTATTACCGTATTTTCCAGCGTATAAGACGACCCCCTACTTTTCCTGTTAAAATATAGGGTTTGGGCTATACTCGCCGCATAAGACTACCCCTCTTCCAACGCACACCAAATAAAAATTAAAAAACATCAGATTTGATTTCAATATGGTATGGTATTTCAGTATGGTATTCCAATGATGGGGTGCTATTCCTCCCACTGACACCAATGATGGGGCACAATTCCTCGCTCTGACACCAATGATGGGGCACTATTCCTCCCACTGACACCAATGATGGGACACTATTCCTCCCACTGACACCAATGATGGTGCCCCATCATTAGTGTCAGTGTGTGAGGAATAGTGTCCCATCATTAGTGTCAGTGGGAGGAATAATACTCCATCAGTGTCAGTGGGAGAAATAGTGCCCCATCATTGGTGTCAGTGGGAAGAATCGTGCCCCATCATTGGTGTCAGTGGGAGGAATAGTGTCCCATCATTGGTGTCAGTGGGAGGAATAGCACCCCATCATTGGTGTCAGTGGGAGGAATAGCACCCCATCATTGGTGTCAGTGGGAGGAATCGTGCCCCATCATTGGTATCAGTGGCAGGAATAGTGCCCCATCATTGGTATCAGTGGAGGAATAGTGGCCCATCATTGGTATCAGTGGGAGGAATAGTGCCCCATTGGTATCAGTGGGAGGAATAGTGCCCCATCATTAGTATCAGTGGGGGGAATAGTGCCCCATCTTTGGTGTCAGTGGGAGGAATCGTGCCCCGTCATTGGTGTCAGTGGGAGGAATAGTGCCCCGTCATTGGTGTCAGTGGGAGGAATAGTGTCCCAACATTGGTGTCAGTGGGAGAAATAGTACCCCATCATTGGTGTCAGTGGGGGAAGGAATAGTGTTCCATCATTGGTGTCAGTGGGGGGTGGAATAGTGCCCCATCGTTGGTGTCATTGGGGAGGAGGAATAGTGCCCCATCGTTGGTGTCAGTGGGGGGGAGGAATAGTGCCCCATCGTTGGTGTCAGTGGGAGGAATAATGCCCCATCATTAGTATCAGTGACACCAATGATAGGGCACTATTCCTCCCACTGACACCAATGACACTTGCTGACCTCTGTGCCAGTATGGTGCTGCTGCAGCCAGCATATGTGGTCGCAGCAGCACCTCTGCACGGCACACTTACTGGCTGCTCCCTCACTCGATTTTCACGGGGCCGCTCGGCTCCGCCTCCTCACCGGTGATTGGCCGCCTGTGTGCCTTTCCTGAGCTACAGTTCTGGCAGCTAATCACCGGTGAGGATGCGGAGCCGAGCGGCCGCGCTTCCTGGACTGGATCGTCATGGGACTGGGACCGGAGCCAGGTAAGAAACAGCAGCCCCCTGCCCACCCCTGTACTTAGTGTCCCTTCCGTTGGAAGGGGGGGGCGGCGGCGGCACCGCGCCGCCCCCTAAAAAGTGCCGCCCTGACACCAAGTGTCAGCATGCAGTATACCGGCGTATAAGACAACCCCCGACTTTTGAGAAGATTTTCAAGGGTTAAAAAGTTGTCTTATACGCCGGAAACTACGGTATATTACAGTCCTGTCTGAAATCTGCAAAACAGAGTTTTAGGTCTTTAACATTTTTTTTTCTTTAAATAAAAACCTTGATCTCTGCATCTGATGATATGTAAAAGATTCAACCTCTAATAGTAAATCTCTTCTGTCAGTTATTCTTAGAGGGGGTGAGATATTTTGTTCTGTAACCATATAGCTGGTTATTTCTATTTACCACTGTATATTGATATGCAAGAATAAATTGTTTTTTTTTTAAACTTTACATATAAACTATACACCAAACCTTTTTTTGAGGTTTTTTATCCGATTAATCAAAACAATAACTGGCCAACTAATTATGAAAATAATCTTTAGATGCAGCCCTACATGTTAATACTATTTCAAAAGTAAATTTAAAAATTTTTTAATCTGCAGCTTTTATTAAAATAATACTTTGTGATCCTGCCATGAAGGGCCTTGCTAAAATGTTAATAAACCCACAACAGTAAAATCATTCTGTATATGCAGTAAAGTGTGCTTGTTATACTCACTGTGGAACTTAAAGGGTTAATCATCTGCCTTGTGTAAAAAGGCTGTGTGATCCTTTCTTCTCTGTCCCTCCTCTTGTTGAATTGACCACCTGATGCAGACTGAACCCGTGGTCCCATGCACATGCTCAGTTTGGTGTCTATTGCTAGAGAGGGTTTTTTTTCTTGGGAGGGTGCATGTGATCAGCACAGGGCCAATCAGCACTGTCCAGACAGGGGGTCAGAGGTTTCACATCCTCCTAGAGCAGAAAGAAAACTTCTCCTACAAGCTTTAACCAGTGCTCTGCTGAAGTCACAAAACTGCTCTAACTGCTGATGAGAAAAGGTATTTAGCAGTTTATATTTACTAAAATAATTGCATTTCCATGTTGTGTGTACTGTGGGAGACCAGATATAGTGAATGCAGGGTCCTGGGTTTAGTATCACTTTAAGGCAATTTCCATTATAGGGTGACAACATGTGTGTTCTTGTACTCCTGCATTTTCACACAGATTTCCGATGAAGAATACACATCCATTTCAAAATACAGTACATTATGTATTCATAGTCCATGTTGTCATCATCTGTTGACCTGTCCTGACAAAGATCATTCAGTCATTGCTTGCACAAGTTCATGCAGATTGAAAGTGGCCACCGTGAGACTGTGGGAGATCGGCAACCTTGGCTGAAAATTGTGAAAACAAGTATTTTGTTTAACCACTTCCCGCCAGCCGTACGCATATATGCTGCATCCCTGCGGGTTGGCTCTAACGCTCGGTGACTGCATATATGCATCCCTATGTAAACACTTTACTGTGCTGAGAGAGCGCTCCCAGCACAGTAATCAGAGGGAACTAGAAAGCTCCCAACACATACTTGTGATTGGGAGCTTTACTATCATGTGACTGCTGTTACTGCCAATCACAGTGGTCACATGATCAGTATGCCCACCTCCACCTTCCGTCATTTAGAACCTGTTAAAGGGGCTGGAGGCAGTAGGAAGGGGTTAAAAAAGGCAACTGTTTATGATACAAATGCTTTATTAAACTAAATTCCATTTAGTTAAGCTAGCCACAACTGGCTCATTGCTCTGTTGGCAACACTCAGCTTGAACAAATGTTGATTTAAAAAAATCAACTGAGCCAGGTGGAATACTGTCAGCCGAACAGTGACTGCATCCAATCAGAAGCAATCACTGTTTGGGTGTATTCAGGCAGCCCTGGATGCTGGGTCTGTCTGAATACATTAGCTCACAGTGCCAATTGCTAAAAAGTATGGATGGAAAAATTGTTTGGGTTCTCTTATTCTGCCTGTGGGGCTGAACAGGAGGAAACTAACGGTTCATGGCTAGTCTACCAACTTACCAGTGTATGGCTAGTCTGTCTATTTTAATGGGGATCTTACACTTAAATGCAAGTTCTGCTTATTCAATAGTTGGCCACATTCCTATGTAAAATCCCTGCATTATTCCTGTGTAAAAAAAATTAAAAATTAAATAAAGCAATAGTCTGTACAGTGCATGCATTTTTAAATAAAAAATATACCTACTTTATACCTGTCTTCTGTCTGTGGTACATAAGATGATATCTCAATCCTTCCAGTGAGGAAGGAATGATCCTGAAAATGCTGAAAATCAAATCTTGCATGAAGATACCATTGCAGGAGATTCTTCCTGCAAGGTTTGAAACATACAGTGGGGTTTAGCTACTCAAGCTGGTTCACTCAGAATCCCGTGCACTTCTGTAAGGAAACCAATCAGCTTACAAGTTTCGTTGGTAAAGCTTATTGAACAAGCTGAAGTTAGAAGCTGATTGGCTACCATGCAAAGCTGCACCAGATTCTGAGTGAACCAGCTTTATTAAATCTCCCCCCAGTGTTTCCAGGATTTCACTAGATGCATTGGGGTTGATTTACTAAAACTGGAAAGTGCGAAACCTGGTGCAGCTCTGTACTGAAACCAATCAGCTTCCAGGTTTTTTGTCAAAGCTTAATTGAACAAGCTGAAGTTAAGCCGACCATACACGGGTCGAATTCCAAAAGAATTTTCTTTCAATAATCTTTTCTAAGAATTTCCGTTCGAATTTTGCACTTTTAGTGGGCCACAGGAACAGACGATTTTGAGCGACCATCAAATTTGAGTGATCGGGCATGTTGGAAATTTTTTTAAAAATAACGAATTTCTAATCAATGATGGGAGAATCGTATGAGAAATGAAATTGCACATGAAATGAGCATGAGCTGTGACCTAGAAAGAAAAGAAAATTACTGACCATGAAAATTCTTTTCTGTAGCAACACAAGGTGAAATGAAAGACTCTGTTGGTAAAATTTTGAAAACATTGATGGCACGATTGGATTACAAAACGCAATATTTTCCCATTTTCTAAAGAAAATTTGTTCGGAATTCGACCCATGTATGGCCTGCATTAGAAGTTGATTGGCTAAAATGCACAGCTGCTCCAGATTTGGAACACTCCAGTTATAGTATATCACCCCCATTGTGCCTTCATCGGTATCGGGGTGTAAGGGAAGTATATTTTTACCCATGCTCTGATGTCCCCGCTAGAATAGGTTTTCTACTTACGCTGTGGTGTACTGTACTGTGTATGATTTGTGGTTCAAATCAAATTAGTGTGGTCTTTAGCCATTACTACATATAAGGAGTTCCCTATGTGCACAGACAACCCATGGAATCCATCCAGCAATACCAAAAGAATCATTAAAAGAGAGAAAGATAGTAAAATAGATCAGAAAAAACTGAAGAACAGAACTCATTTTACAGATAATGTCCAGCATACTTGCTAGAATAAGTCTGCCTATCAGTAAGACTTGGGATGACCTTACTCTTCGGATTCATCATTATGATCTATAAGTACCTACTGCCTCCCCCTCCCCACCCGGGACAATTTGTGGAAGTCACATTCATTTTAGATCCATACACATCACGGTAAACTACGGTAACTTCCCCTATCTTTACTATACGTGACCTCTACATCACATTCAGAAGAATGCATCTTCTACTTGTATGAGATAGAGGAACAGCAAGAATCGGGGAGTCATTTTAACTACTTAGCCCTGCAATGTAGTTGAATATTATTCCTTGTTGCCTTCCATTTGCTTGAATGGCAGGTGACACAATGACAGGAACTGCAGATGCACTTTTTGTCAGCCTTCCCCTGTATAATTTTGCATTAGTAGGAATTGGCTGAGCTTGCCAAACCACAAGTTCTCCTTTTACCTGTCAACATAAATTGGCTCAAGAATGATTCTTCTAATGCATACACACATAGTCATGTTGACCTTTTCCATAAATCCCTTTTCACTTGGCGAGTGTCTATTTTAGGGTACAAGTATCTGTCTGTTCCAGAGTACAGATTTATTGTAAGACCGACTATAAACATATTAATGATATGAGCAATGTAATACCTGTGTCTGTTTCAGTGATCATACAGTCAGTCATTTAATGAAGAGTAAGATTTAGAATTGTAGACCTTTGTTAGAGAGTGCATTTTAGTACTTTAAAGTGCCAGTACACATTAGTCTTGAACAGGACAGCCTCCGTTTCACAGTCCTTGCTTCAATGTGGTGCTTGTCCATCAAAGCTCTGTGCCCCCTAGTGAGCCCCCTAGTGAGCATTCAGATGTATTTCTTGCAGTTATGTGTATAGAAAGTCATTTTTTCATACCAGGTACATACTGTAGAAATTCAAACTGCTCTGACATGAAATTACATTTTTTTTTTTTTTTTTACAGATTAAGAACAAATAATGTATATTTAAGATAACTTGTGTCCATCTTGGTTACTAAAGGTAAACTTGTTATCAAAGCAGAGTTGGAGACATAAATGAAATGTAGAGATGCCTGCACATATCTGCATATTTGGCCAGTTGGAACTCTTGGAATCTGATATTTGCAAACTATAAATTATAACTAACCATTCTTCTCTACTGGTCCCTTAATGCAATAATCATCCGTAGACCAGAGGCCACACTGCTCATTTAAAGTGTTGCTGCACCTATTTAGCCCCGGTTCACATATATGCGGCAATGCGGTTCGCGGTTTGCATGGGCACGAGAGCCCATTCGTTTGAATGTACTCCCGTGCCCATGACACTTCTTCCGAAAACGCAGCCCGGTTCCCAATACGGTTGCGTTTCCTAGTGCAGGCAGTGTGCCGCATTTCTCTGTGCGGGTTGTGCGGATGCACGGATTTTTGTACGGATCCGCAGTGGTACCACCCGCACAGATGTTAACCTAGCCTTAGGGTATCCCACACTTAGACTCCCTCCTCATGTTATAGTCATCTGTTGCATATCCAGCACTGATGGGTTTCAAAGCTGCTTGTCAAAATCCTGAAGGCCTGGCTCATGCATGCACTGTACAGACTTCATTGCTGGACTGTATATACCGCTCCATTGGATTCAATAAAGAGTCTGTACTCTACTTGAACGCGACGTATGAACTCTGCATCAGATTCAATGGAGAATATACCGTGCCTGTGTTTAGGTAAGATTTTGACGTGAAAATGTGTACTGGATATTTTGCTGGACCTGGGACAGATAAGTATAGGTCTGGGATTGAAGGCTTGGGACTCCACAGAATATGTTGTGTAATTGAAAAAGTGAAGTTACTCTTTAAGAATGGACAGATGAGCAGAAAATTAAGATGTTACTAATAAACAGATAAAAATTGTAAAACATTACAGATTCTCTCTTCTCTTACAGATGGTACTGAAGAGCAAATGTGGTGGCTCCTGCACTGGCAGATGAGCCAATGCCCCTCTAGAAACATAATTATGGCATGTGTGTAGTCAAATCCCTACTTGCATTGGTCATTGCTATTACAGAGATGGAACCAGGCTGTTTACAGTTTTTCATAAATAATGAGAAAAGTAAAGACTATGTATGACCTTACCAAGCCCAGACTGGTTGTAGAGCACACCAGGCATTTGCCCGTTGGGCTGGGACTGCCTGGATAGGAAGGGCGACAGGGCGGCATATACCGTAACTGATCCATCCATTTCCCTCTTGCCACCGCTGAATGCCTGCGTCTCCTCCTCTCCCTCATGCAGGCATTCAGGGGCTGCAGGAGAGAAATGGATGGATCAGTTCCTCTATATACTGCCCCGCCACCCCTCCTATTCATCTTCTTTCTGCAGCCTCCATGCCCTTGTTCTCTCTCCTGGCCCCCCTCCTCCCCCACAGTGCTGCCAAGTCCCCCCTACACCCTCCTTCCAGCTTCTGCGGGGGATGTGTCAGGATGGAGAACGGGGAAGGGGGTGGTAAACATGTAATTTTAAAGAGGTAATAAACCCAAAGCCAAAATGTAATATATTGCAGCTTACCAATCATTAGATGAGGTGACTGCATCAGTTTTCTTTTCTTAAAGTGGTTGTAAATGCTCAATATATTTTTTACCTTCATGCA